CAGCAGAGAGCTGGATGAGAAGTAGAGCAGCCAGGACTAGAACTGGAGCCGACATGGGATGCCAGCACTGCAGGCGGCGGCTTTACCTACTATGCCATAGCGCCAGCCCCCATGCCCTTTATCTTGTAAGGTAAAACTACTGACGCCCTGTGCAGAAAAGGTGGAAAAAAAACAAGGCATGACCAGTGAGGGCTGCTCCATCCCACAGGTGAGCAGCCAGAGCATGTGGCCACTCTTTCTGCCATCTTCCTCCCACGCTTCTTCAACACGCATCACTGCACTGACCAGGAGAGAGATCATTCATCCAGAATCTGCTGTCTCTTTTCCAAAGACACACACATATACAACTTCAAGCACTGCGTCTCTCTGACAAAATCGCTCCCATCCTTCTATCCACTGCTTTTAAGTGACTCTAAAAATACCCAGTGGTCGTGAACTTCAGGTCTCATACACACTGAGAACCAGACCTTTTGCCAAATTCCCCTGGACAGGTTTAGAAAAACAGTCATTCGGGAAACTGGCACTGCCAAGTGTGGAAATCAGATGAGGGAAATTAATATCTCAAAGACAGACGTTTCAAATGGCCCCCAATTTTTAGAGCTTTCAGCCACACAACCCACCAAATGGTTCTGAATTGAGGTACTACATTCACTTGCTAATTCCCCGTTTTCAGAGTAACATTGATGCATGTTGGATTTTCCTCTAACACACCACTTCAAGCTCTGGGTGATTACCCTCCTGCCGACACGCAGGCATACACAAATGCTCAAGAAATCTGCTATCCCATGGGGCTAACTAAAAAGGATTTTTACTTCTACGAAGAGTGAATGAGATCTTTGCTAGCCCACTTTACAGCACTCTCAATGACCCTGGATTTATCTTGCCCTAGTTTTCAAATGTAACTGACCCGGAACAAAGCTTATCTCCAACTCCTGGAAAAAACAGAACCAAAGTTCCCAGAAACCAAGACTCTGTATGGAACCTAAGGGGGGGCCGGGGAAGTGCATTTTTTTCCTGAAAACCACTGCACAGTGCAAATATCACAAGAGCTCTGTTCTTTTCATGTAATTGGAATTTTTTTAAGATCATAAAGTTTCAGGCCGGCGCCGCGGCTCACTAGGCTAATCCTCCACCTTGCAGCGCCGGCACACCAGGTTCTAGTCCCAGCTGGGGCGCCAGATTTTGTCCCAGTTGCCCCTCTTCCAGGCCAGCTCTCTGCTGTGGCCAGGGAGTGCAGTGGAGGATGGCCCAAGTGCTTGGGCCCTGCACCCCATGGGAGACCAGGAGAAGCACCTGGCTCCTGCCATCGGATCAGCGCGGTGCGCTGGCCGCAGCGTGCCGGCCGCGGTGGCCATTGGAGGGTGAACCAACGGCAAAGGAAGACCTTTCTCTCTGTCTCTCTCTCTCACTGTCCACTCTGCCTGTCAAAAAAAATTTAAAAAATAAAAAAAATTAAAAAAAAGATCATAAAGTTTCACAATATCAAGGCAAGCAAAACTCCAAGAAAATACAGCAAGAGACAACATCAACTACTATGATTATCAACAGGAACTTTCTGGAAGTTTCTATGCTGGTACAGTACAACACTGACAGCCAGTGACGGGCACAACTTGATCATTTTCTCTGGGTTGAATAAATCTAGTCAGCCAAAACAGCCCCAGAGATGATTGGCTTTTATTCATAAAAACTGAGCCGTTTGAACTAGTTAGGGAAGCAAACGCATTATCTGCAAATACACAAATTTTCTTATTCTTCATTCATTATTTGGAGCAAAATCTCACCCTGCACACTTGGCTGCAAAGGGGCAAACAGTCCACCCAGAAGCCTTTTACAAACTTTCAGAAGTGCATGGGGGAAAAGTGCAATCAAAAGGTACGAAAGGTAATTTTATTTTGCTGTATTTTTTTTAAATCCCTGCACCTTCTTCATAACATGCATTTTCCAAGAACTTGTTGAAGACTCCTTGTATGCATAGATTGCAAAATTTCCTATGCCAAAATAACTTACCTTTTAATTCCATTTTCCGTGAACTGGATCAAATGCCCTTGTATTAAACCCGTCCCTCTGTCTCGGACTTCACAGCCACAAAACAGAACAGACTTTTTCCCAGGAGCATGACACTGAAGCTGTCCTTAGCCCCCAGTACCAGGGACACACCTCACTGCTTCGTGTCTAAACAAATCCATGTTTCCAACCTACTTCACAATTTTCACGAACCCTGAACAGCTTCCCTGGTTCAGGGGACTTTATAGACCTTGTTTTTTTTATACTGGGGTGGCCACTCAGTTACTCATTATACAACTATTTATTGAAAGCCTAAAATATTCAGAAATTTCAGTGGCAATAAACACACACGCATTTCAGATGCCCCTACCTAAAACACACTCAGAGAATCAGAAAAGCTCAGGAGTGTGATTGATCAAGTCACAGCACAGAGCAGAGCAGACAGGAGGGAAGCAGCGACTACACGAGCTCAGGAAAAAGACAACAAACTCCAGGGAAATTCTGAACACACCGCTCACTTCCTACAGTAGGAGAATCACACAGGCACTGCTAAAAGTTCATGGAGAGAGATCTCAAAGAGAAGCTTATTTTGGTGCGAGACCCGGCTGCTCCTCTTCCGATCCAGCTCTCTGCTGTGGCCGGGGAAAGCAGCAGAAGATGGCCCAAGTCCTTGGGCCCCTGCACCCACGTGGGAGACCCAGAAGAAGCTCCTGGCTCCTGGCTTCAGATCAGCGCAGCTCCAGCTGTTGGGGCCAATTGGGAAGTGAACCAGTGGATGGAAGACCTCTCTCTCTCTCTCTCTCTCTCTCTCTTTCCGCCCCCTTCCTCTCCCTCTCCCCCTTTCTCCCTCTTTCTTTCTCTCTCAAATAAATTCAATTAAAACAAAAAAAAAAAAGAATGACTAGATCTGCATCTCAGGTCATTTTCTCACTGCACGACACCCACTGGCAGAAGTCCACGGAGCTTATGTATTTCTCTCCGATCCCCAATCTATTCCTCTTTGTACCTGAACACCGAGCACGCTGCACGTGGTTGGCACTCAGCATTCACCAAACGACCCACTAGAAGCAAACCTTACATCTTAGTAGGGAGCTTGTAGTCTAACCCACTACACGTGGACTACTTTTTTTCTCCGAGAGTAGAGTTATTTCTTTATTTCAAATGGGCAGATACCCATTGGATGGACATATCATGTACACCTTGATGTTTTGAATACATGTGTGTTGTGGAATGGTTAAATCTAGCAAACTAATGGCCTCACATTTTTATGAGGAGAGCATATGATATCCACACTCTTTATGATCTTCAAGAATACTATGTCATCAACTATAGCCACCTCGCTGTATGATCGGTCTCTTGAAATTTATTCCTATCTAACTGCAGTGATGCCTCCCTAACATGGCTAATTGTAATGTTACTGAAAACAACACATAAATGGCAAGCGTCCCTTCAGCTGGCTGCTCAGTAAATAATGCATACATTTAGATGGAGCAATAACCTAACTACAGACTCACACTCCACTGCTGAGCCCCACCAAGTAACGGCAGCTACCCAGAAAGCATGGGGGGCTTTTCAGTCTTCTAAAACGTCATCCAGACAGTAACAGCACTCAATAAGCCACATGAGCATTGTTGGAAATGATGCAGTAACTGGGCGGCTTCGTTTTTACACAGCTGGCTCCCCATTCACCAGCACTGTGCAGGATGCTACTAAGCCCCTCCTGCAGCGGCAGAGGTAACAGGATACACCTGCTTGCTAGATCCGTGTCTAGGTAATGATAGCATTCTGTAGCTGGGTGCTGTTTGCCAAAGCACTGGCCTGCTTCATTTTTGAAAACAAAATCATTTGCTTCTGGGATAGGTGTTTGGCCTACCAGTAAGACACCAGTCATGAAGGCCATATCCCACCCTGGAATTCCTGGGTTTGATTCTCAACCACAGCTTCCTACTTAGGCAGACCCTGGGGGGAAGCGGTGATGGTTCCAGTAACCGGGTTCCTGGCACCCATGCGGGAGGCCTGGGTTGGGTTCCTGACTCCTGGCTTCAGCGCCCAACCCCAGCCATTGCAGTCATTATCAAAGTGATAGGAGCTCGCTCGCTCACTCTCTCTCTCTCTTTCTCTCTCTCAAATAAATAAAAATTTTTTAAATAATAACTTGCTTCTGCTACATAACTATTCTGTTATACAATGCCTGTCCTTTTATGACCAACAAGTTACATTTGTTTGTTAAAAAAGAAATAACAGGCGGCTCCTCTCGCGGGGATTGGCTGTTGGCGGCGTTGCGGCTAAGCTCGTGTGCGGCGGCGGTGTCGGCAGCGGCTGCAAAGGGAAGAGTTTGGCGCGATGTCTCATACCATTTTGCTGGTACAGCCTACCAAGAGGCCAGAAGGCAGAACTTACGCTGACTATGAATCTGTGAATGAATGCATGGAAGGTGTTTGTAAAATGTATGAGGAACATCTGAAAAGAATGAATCCCAACAGTCCGTCTATCACATACGATATCAGTCAGTTGTTTGATTTTATTGATGATCTGGCAGACCTCAGCTGCCTTGTTTACCGGGCTGATACCCAGACATACCAGCCTTATAACAAAGACTGGATCAAAGAGAAGATCTACGTGCTCCTCCGCCGGCAGGCCCAACAGGCGGGAAAATAATGGAGTGGAAGCAGTAGGGGGATGGGGGTGGGCTTGGAACACAGGTGTGTACAGCGTGCTGTAGTGGGAGTTTTGTATTATAGTGATCCTGTTTCCACTTGGTACACTCTAGCCAGATTGAATGTATCAGATGAAGTGTGAGAATGTTGTTCAATCTGAAACCCCCATTGCCCCTTTTTTCTTTTCTTTTTCTTCCCTTTTTTTTTTTTTACTTAAACATTTTTATGAGGATTTAGATGGAATTTTTTTGTCAGTTAATGTTGGTTCCAGAGCTTCAGACTGTTGAGATCTGCTTTATAACAGTCACTGTACTAACCCTTGGAGATGGGGTGGGGGGTGGCTCAGTTTAGTTACATCCTCAAGGCAAACTCTTAGTGGAAAATAAATGTTCTTTAGTTATAAAAAAAAAAAAGAAATAACAATAACAATAACAAATAACAATACACGAGGGAAGCTCCCCAAACAACTCAAACACCCCGCCATTGACATTTCAGCTTCTCAGGAAGAATCAGCCAAGTTCACTCATTACTGTGATTTTCTTCTTTTTTTAAGACTTATTTATTCAAAGAGAGACAGAGAGAGATCTTCCATCTACCGACTCATTCTCCAAATGGCGGCAATGGCCTGGATTGGGCCATGCTGAAGTCAGGAGCCTGGAACTCCACACTGGTCTCCTATGTGGGTGTCAGGGACCCAAGCCCTTGGGCCATCCTCCACTGCTCTTCCAGACATCAGCAGGGAGCTGGGTCAAAAGTGCAGAACCCGGGACTCGAACCAGCACCCATATGGTGTGCAGCATCACAGGTGGCGGCTCTATCTGCTGCATCACAACACCAGCAGCTACGGGATTTTCTAATGGGTTCTCCACCTGCGTCATGCTGTTCATCTTTTAAAAGCATAGACAATTCCCCAGAACTCTTTGTAAGAAACCGTTTATCTGCACACTTTACTTTTAGTGAACTGACACAAATACGTAATGGTCTTCTTATTTGATTCCTAGAAAAGCAGTTAATAAAAGCACAGTGAATAAAGTGAACAATGTGCACATTATGTGTGCGACCACAATTATGAAGGAGCTCAACCTGAAATCCTTGGAGGAAATCTACCTTATTATCCATAGCCAATCGCTGCAAAGTCCTATTGAGTCTTCATGGTTCCCCATACTTTCTTTTTTTAAAGATTTATTTACTTATTTGAAAGTCAGAGTTACACAGAGAGAGGAGAGAGAGAGAGAGAGAGAGAGAGAGAGAGGTCTTCCTTCCATTGGTTCACTCCCCAGTTGGCCGCAACGGCCGGAGCTGCGCTGATCTGAAGGTAAGACCAGGAGTCTCTTCCGGGTCTCCCAGGTGGGTGCAGGAGCCCAAGCACTTAGCCATCTTCCACTGCTTTCCCAGCAGAGAGCTGGATCAGAAGTAGAGCAGACTCGAACCGGTGTCCATATGGGATGCAGGCACTGCAGGCGGTGGCTTTACCCGCTAAGCCACAGCGCCGGCCCCTTCTCCCATACTTTCAATCTCTCCACTGTCATCCCATCTCAGGCAAACATCACCCACCACCTAATGTTTGCCAGCGCTTCCTAACTGGTTTCTCCAACTCTATTTTCTTTCCCTTTTCCAGTCTACCTATACTTCAAAGCCACAGTAAAGCCCTTAGACACAACTCCAACCCAAGCTCATGTCACTCCCAACTCCCAAGACCCAGGAGCCGTGCCCTGCCTAACAGCACAAGCTCTAACTCTGTGTGCCTGAGGTCAACTCCCTGAAGGATTTAACCAGAAACACTTCTCAAGGGATTTCTACCTTGCTCTCAAAGAGCACTGAATAGCAAAGATTCTCTCCAACTTGGAACTTCTGTGATACTTACCCGACTTCACCCCAACGGTTTCCATCATCATATTCGCCTGATGCCTCACAAATTACTCCCTGGACATCCCTTTCCCACCTGAAGGATCAGTGGAGATGTTCTTTCAAACAAAATAGGCAGTTAGTATTTTCTTAAAATAAAATAGAAGGAAGAACTCATTACTGTGCCAAGGGAGAAATCCCAATGGAGAGAGTTAGAGGGATTCCATAATGAAAATATGGCTAAAACAAATAGTTTTTAAAGACAGCTATTTATTTAATGATTTTAGTGTCTTGAATGCATATGTCTCAAATTTATTAAAAATGTGGGCCATTCAGAGTAATTCAAAACACACATGAATCCATGCAAATTCATAAAGACCATTCCTTTCTCTTCCTAACCCTTAGCAACTCCAATGCTCTTCTCCCCATTAGAGGTAAAGAACATAAACAGGCCCCTACCAAAAGTAGCCTGAAACTCCCTTCATAGGGGTCTTTTCTCCAGGATCCCACAGAAGACGAGCAAAGAGCGAGAACTCACTTGCTTACCGTCCTTGTAGGGATTTCAGCAAAGCGCAGCCTAGAGTTCAGGCTCCGGTTTGCACAGCCTATCAGCGGTGAATCAGACAGCTTAATACTCTCAGGGTGTGGCCACAACGGCCTCGCCTTAGATGAAGTTTGTGTTGGAATAAAGTAGGCTTGGGAGGTCAATTAGGCCATGCCACTGTCTGTGTCTGCCTCTTTCATAGAAGGTTCTGAAGCGGAACGGGATAAAAAAAAAAAAAAAAACCTTTACATAAAGTCTCTCTTCTCATAAGACCCCAAGGACCGTCAAGCACGTGTGAGTTCTATGACAGGCACCTCTGCCTGCATAGCAAACAAAGCCAAATGTTTCTCCAGCTAACACCTTTGCTTAAGTAGTACATGATGGAAATAACATCTATCAATTCTTTTTTGCCCAAATAGCTCATAATCCTGCCATGAGTTCGAAGTTACTATTAGAAATATATACAACTTCCTTCCTCCTCCCCCTCTCCTTCCCACCCTTCCTTCCCTCTGTCTGTCTGCCCACTGAAACAACACGAGCTACGAGAGCCATAACAAACCCACTGCCAACAACACAGCAGTTGACCCTGGGAAATCAATTCTTGTCACACTTCAGCTTCCAGTCCCTAGGCATGGAAACTCTCCATGTGGTTCCTCTCTCAGGTGTACCCAGTTAAGGGGGAACAACCCTTCCACGGCAGCCACTTGAAGACATCACAGGACTGGCTGCCCACCTGTCCCATCAGGGCAATGCGCGCAGCACTCCCAGCCCCTGGATACATCCTCCTGACTGGTGGGTGCACGTACAACACGTTACATTGCGAAACAGCCCGGGCTAGTCTCCTACAGTACCGCAGGTTATATAACGGAGTACAATCCGAAGCGTGCTAGGAGAAGCCACTCATTTCTCAGTGAAGTGCAAATTAATTGCAACTGCATTGTCAACCAGAGAGCACTAATGTGACTTGAAGTTGCTCATCCACCCTCTGGATGGAAAAGTTTGCTACCGTTGACAGGATAAAGCTAAGATTACATGTTTGCTAGAAGAAGTTGCCTCTCTCAGATTGTCCTTCGAGTTATGTCAGAGGGGGTACAACACGGTAGGGGGTAAAAAAACACCAATATTGCAAGTCAAAACTTGGGCCGGTGCTGTGGTGTAGCGGGAAAAGCCGCTGCTTGCAGTGCCGGCATCCCACATGGGCACTGGTTCAGGTCCTGGCTGCTCCACTTCCGATCCAGCTCTCTGCTACTGCCTGGGAAAGCAGTAGAAGATGGCCCAAGTCCTTGGGCCCCTGCACCCACGTGGGAGACCTGGAAGAAGTTCCTGGCTCCTGGCTTTGGATCGGCACAGCTCCGGCCATTGCAGCCAATTGGAGAGTGAACCAGCTGATGGAGAACCTCTCACTCTCACTGTCTCTGCCTCTCCTCTCTCTGTGTAACTCTGACTTTCCAATTAATAAATAAATCTTTAAAAAAAGGATAGTAAGTATACCCTGAGTGCCCAAGTAGATAGAGCAGAACAGAGGAGGGAGTCACCTCCTGGCCTGGGAGAGGCCAAGAGCTCAAGGACAAGGCTGTCTGGTTGACCTTGGGACAGATGAAGGACCGAGGAGTTGGATTCTTCCAGGGTTGGAGGACGGACCAGAGGACCCCACGGGGAACAATCTAAACAGCAGCACATACACAACGAGGAGTGTGGCCCTACAAGGAAATGCGGGGTGGCCGCAGCAGGTGTTTGCCGGGGTGGGACGGGAGATCCAGGCAGAGAGAAAACAAGCCGCAGATGAGGAAGGGCTGTGAGTCTACACCCTAGTGTGATGGAAGCCACTGGAGAGAGATGCCAGAACCAGGACAGTGAAACAGGAATTCTGCTTTACAGCTTTCCCGGGAGGTTTCTGCTCTAGCTAGGTGCCCTGCAAAAGAAGAAAGCCTGGAAGACGAAGATTTTGACTGTAAATACATAAGCAAAAATGACAGCGCCTTTACTGAGCCCCTACACCGTGCCAAGCCCTTAGCAGGCTGCACCGCACACCTGCAACACAGCTGTACCGCGGGCATTGTCATCCACACTTCCAAAAGTCTGCAGAAAATGGAATTAAAAGATAGGTTCATTTGGGTACCAAAAAATCTTGAAATCCTGCATACAAGGAATCTGCAAGCAGTTCAAGGAAAAGGTGTATTATGAAAAAATTATGCACTGTTGCATAGTGGGTAAAGCCGCCACCTGCAGTGTCGGCATCCCATATGGGCACCGGTTCAAGTCCCAGCTGCTCCACTTCCAGTCCAGCTCTCTGCTGCGGCCCGGGAAGGCAGTGGAGGATGACCCAAGTCCTTGGGCCCCTGAACCCGCATGGGAGACCAGGAAGAAGCTCCTGGTTCCTGGCTTCGGATCGGCACAGCTCCGGTTATTGTGGCCAATTGGGGAGTGAACCAGTGCATGGAAGACCTCTCTCTCTCTCTCTCTCTCTCTCTCTCTCTCTCTGCCTCTCCTTCTTTCTCTTATGTAACCCTGAATTTCAAATAAATAAATTAATCTGTAAAAAAAATAAAAAATTATGTATGGATTTCAATGATTTTTTTGCACTAAAACAAGAATATTTTTTAATTCCATCTTGCCAAGAACTTTCTGAAGTACCCACATATGAGGAAACTGGGACTCAAGAGAAAGTCTCTAGTCCAAGTTCAAACAGCTGCTAAGTGACAGAGCCAGCATTAGAAATTAGACTTACCTGACTACTTATTGCAGCCAAAACTTTAAATGCAACTTCACAGGAAAATAAGAACACTTATTTTTTTTTCAGTAAAGTGAAAACTTAATTCTAACTACTCATGAATATTATGACACTATTAAAAATCTACTCACTGAAAATTTGTAAAATTAGTAACTCAAGGCTACCTCTCAATAATTTAAGTATTTCTTACTCTATACAAATCCAATGTTTCCTTTTATAAGTCTGGAACTTATATTTTATTCCAAAACCTGTTGCTTTTCCATCTCATGATGGAAGTCAAGAAGTTAATCATTCAAAATGAATTTGTAATCAAAGAGAAAAATATCAGAAAGACAGTAATTTTTAAATCTTTATCATAAATCCCTCAAATGAATCTATGACTTTTAAGGAACATTCTAGAAGTGTTCAGAATACTATCCATAGTCTTAAAATTTCCTTTAAAATAGCTGGTCATAGCCTATCTCTTTTATAGCTGTTAACCTTACACAATCCAAGATTTGCTTCATCAACAAAAGTGGAACGGCTAGTGGCTGACAGATCTTTATAAGACAGCATAGGGGCTGGTGCTGTGGCATAGCATGTAAAGCCGCTGCCTGCAGTGCCGGCATCCCATATGGGCGCCAGTTCTAGTCTTGGCTGCTCCACTTCCGATCCAGCTCTCTGCTATGGCCTAGGAAAGTAGTAGAAGTTGACCCAAGTCCTTGGGCCTCTGCACTCATGTGGGAGACTAGAAAGAAGATCCAGGCTCCTAGCATCGGATCAGCCCAGCTCTGGCCGTTACGGCCATTTGAGGAGTGAACCAATGGATGCAAGACCTTTCTCTCTCTCTCTCTCTCTCTCTCTCTCTTTCTGCCTCTGCCTCTGCCTCTCTGTAACTCCTCGTTCCAAATAAATAAATAAATCTTAAAAAAAAAAAGCACAAAAATGCCAAACTCCGTGAGAGGCCCTGGAAAAAGTCAGACTGTATTTATATCTGTGCACGCATGATTCCATGATTCAAATGCCATGCAGGTACCCTATTACCAGCATTCCCTTCTGTTATGGCAAAGCAAGGATGTGCATTAAAGAGATGCTGTGGGGGACCGGCACTGTGGCATGGCAGGTAAAGATGCTGCTTGCAGTGCTGGCATCCCTTATGGGCGCCGGTTCGAGTCCTGGCTGCTCCACTTCCGATCCAGCTCTCTGCTATGATCTGGGAGGGCAGTAGAGGATGGCCCAAGTCCTTGGGCCCCTGCACCCGCATGGGAAACCCAGAGGAAGCACCTGGCTCCTGGCTTCGGATCGGCACCGCTCTGGCCGTTGCAGCCAACTGGGGAGTGAACCAGTGGATAGAAGACCTCTCTCTCTCTCTCTCTCTCTCTCTCTGCCTTGCCTTCTCTCTCTGTAACTCTGACTTTCAAATAAATAAATAAATCTTTAAAAAAAAAAGACACTGTAGAAAACATCCAAAAGAAGTGCAAACCTCACAAAGTAGATCATGGTTAACTATTTAATTCTCACCACCAAGAAAAGACACGGACATTTCTAAAAGTTTATAGAAAAACAAAATGAAAAAAGAAGTTTACTTTAAAAATTTGAAATTCCCAGTCTTCAAATACATACATATTTCTATGAACTTTTCAAGGACCCCCCTCATATGCACAGATTTCAAGTTTTGTTGCACCAAAATAAGCTTATCTTTTAATTCTACTTTTCCACGAACTCTCTGAAGTACCCTCAGATGTACCAGCACTCTTAGGGTAAGAAAGCAAAGACACCGAATTCCTTCCAGGTGTTCGTGGCTTTCCTAGAGAGCTGACATAGCAAGAAAGACGTTTAAGGGAGCGGAATGGTTCCTACTATTGGAAAAAATACAGATACATTTTCAAAATTTCTCAGAAGTGAAACAGACCAACACGATTCACGAGAGGAGGAGAGCCAGACTTCCAGCGTTTCCAGGGGGGTTCCCCCAGCTCGCCTGAGTTACCTTGGAGTGAAATATGGAGATCATCGATGCCCACGGCCACCTGCTGGTCTTCGGCGGGAGCCACAGTGCTGGACGCCATGCTTCGACCCAGCGGAGGTTATATCCTGTCCATCTCAGTTAGAGAAGCGAACTGAAAGTGAAAGAGAGAAAACCTCATCAGGACCTCGCAGGCCTGCGTGGTGGCCAGAAGAGCGGCCACCTAAAAACTGCTCTCCCACAGCAGTCCGCCTTCCACACAGTGTTTCCTGAGTTCACAAAGAACAAAGGAACTACGCCTTCTTTTTGAATCATAATCAAGAACTTGCCCTGTGACCTATTCGTGCTCTTTGCAGTTGCTGGAGCAGGTCCAAAAGAACCAGCCCTGGGGACGCCGCTGGTGCTAAGAGGGAAAGCCGAGCGATTCCACGCAGTGACTCCTCCCGGGAGGCCAGGCTGACACCAGCTGATACCCTGGGCATCTGAGTGTGTGTGCTTGTGGAACCTTCAACCTGCAAAAGTTTTCTTTGAAACTATTTTTCTTAACTTAGTTCCTCTTCTGCTCCATAAATGTTGCCAATTTGCCATTTACTGGAAACAATAAGAGCTGAGCCTGCCTAGCTGGCAAAGAGAAACAAGCAAACAGAAAACCTACTATAGCAAAAAGAACACTGACAAACTATCTACGAAGTTGATTATTTGCCCGACCGCTATGTTCTCACCTACACATTTCTTCCCATAACTTTATCTGCACTCTCAAAGAATCATTCCAGTAAAAGCAATCCTTACCCCCAAATTCTTTAAAAGCATTACTTCATGTATATGCAAAGGTACTTCAATAAATTCAGGGAGAGGCTGGCGCTGTTGTGTACTGGGTAAGGCGCTGCCTGCAGTGCTGCATCCCACATGGGCACGGGTACAAGTCCTGGCTGCCCCACTTCCGACCCAGCTCCCAGCTGGTGCACCTGGGAAAGCAGAAGATGGCCCCAGGCCTTGGTCCCTGCACCCGCCCAAGGGAAGCTCTTGGTTCATGACTTCAGACTGGCCCAGCTCTGGCTGTTTCGGCTTTGGGGAGTAAACCAGAGAATGGAAAATCTTTCTGTCTCTCCTCTCTCTCTCTGACTCTGCCTTTCAAATGGATAAATAGATCTTTTAAAAAAAGAAAGGAAAGAAACAAAGAAAGGGGCTGGAGCTGTGGTGCAATGGGTTAAAGCCCCAGTCTGCAACACCAACATCTCAGGAGTTCGAGTTCCAATTCCGATCCAGCTCCCTACTAATGACCCAAGTGCTTGGGCCCAGCACCCACACGGAAGACCCGGAAGAAGCTCCTGGCTCCTGGCTTCAAATAGGCTCAGCTCCAGCCGTTGCGGCCATCTGGGGGGTGAACCAGCGGATGGGAGATATCTCTCTCTCTCTCTCTCTGCCTCTGCCTCTCTGTAAATCTGCCTTCAAATAAATACATCTTAAAAAAAAAAAAAACATGGTGCATGGATTTAATAATTTTTGCACCAAAACACATTTTAATCTCTTTGTTCAATGAACTTTTTGAAGTACCTGCCTACGTGCAGGGAATAAGAACACAACACTGATTCTCCCCATGCAGATGATCGAGTAACAAAATAAGCCTCACCAAGCACATGCAAATAAAAATGCATTAGGGGATGGATGGAGGATGGATATACGGACAGCTTTGTGATCAAGCAATTATTGCAAAACACTAATGTTAGAATCTGTGTTGCACATACAACTGTCACTGTAAAATCCTTTAGTTTTGCTGTGTATTAGACATTTTTCATAATAAAATGTTGGGAGGAAACACTGAAAGGTAAATAAATCTGAAGCCAACAGCTAAATACGATTGCATTAAATATTAAATAGACCATGTTTAAAAATGTAAAAGATAACAATCTTTTCATCATGTCTCCCTTGCTTTCATCCAAACCCCTTATATCATCACTCCCATGGGGCACAGTTGTTAAAAATGTTACCTACTAAATAACCTTGATTAATTACTAATCGACTTGCTTATCGGATGAATTAAGATGGATCAGAACCAGCCGAGATAAGGGTGTTTCCGCATTGAGCTCATGTGGTCTGAGCGAAAGGAAAAGCTGTTGATTAGTTCCCAAGAGATGATGTAGCCTGGTGCCTGATAAAGACAAAGACGCCTCCAGCTTGTGATAAACCAAGGATCTGCACTGCCCCTAGGACTCCGGAACCCAAAGTGGACACAAAACCCTTCTTCGATTTGACCAGAGGAAACCTGAAGTCCAGAATGAATTCCCTAGGGCCACCCCCCATTCCATGTCAGCGCTATTAAAAATAAAAGAATCACAGTAGTAGCAACGAAGCACACAGAGCACTTACTGAGGACTCTGCCCCATTCAGTCTTTGTTTGGAACCGTAATGATCCTGGAATTTGAAACACAGAGCTGCCAGGCACAGACATAACTCACAGCTGGCTAAGGACACACAGCCAACCAATGCAGAAGGGAAGATTCACACCCAAGTGGTTTCCGCTTCAGAGTCCACGCTCTGGATCAACATGCAATGGCAACTCCTAGAGCGAGCTGATTTGCCAAGGGTCACTCTCACTGTCTATCAAGAAGCATCTGTATAGGCCAGACCCCGCTCTCAAGGAATCCAATCGGAGAACGACAACTGAACGCGGTGTTTAAACCGAATCCTCTAAGACAGGTGTGTGGAGGGTGCTGGAGGCGGGGAAGGCAGCGCTTGAAGCTGAAGATGGGTGTGATGTCAGCATTGAAGTGGACTGAATCCTGACGATGGGTGTGATGTCAGCATTGAAGTGGACTGAATCCTGACGATGGGTGTGATGTCAGCATTGAAGTGGACTGAATCCTGACGATGGGTGTGATGTCAGCCATTGAAGTGGACTGAATCCTGACGATGGGTGTGATGTCAGCCATTGAAGTGGACTGAATCCTGACGATGGGTGTGATGTCAGCATTGAAGTGGACTGAATCCTGACGATGGGTGTGATGTCAGCATTGAAGTGGACTGAATCCTGACGATGGGTGTGATGTCAGCATTGAAGTGGACTGAATCCTGACGATGGGTGTGATGTCAGCATTGAAGTGGACTGAATCCTGAAGATGGGTGTGATGTCAGCATTGAAGTGGACTGAATCCTGACGATGGGTGTGATGTCAGCCATTGAAGTGGACTGAATCCTGATGCCCCTCAATGCCCGCACACTTGGGGCCAGTGTTGGGTACAGTGGATTAAGCCACCACCTGGGATGCAGGTGCATGTCCTGGCTGCTTCACTTCTAATCCAGCTTCCTGCTGATGGCCTGGAAAAGCAGTGGAAGATGGTCCAAGTGCTTGCGTTCCTACACCCACATGGAAAACCTGGAAGAAGTTCCTGGTTCCTGGCTTCGGCCTGGGCCAGCCCGGGCCATTGCAGCCATTTGGAGAGTGAACCAATGGATACAGGATCTCTCTTTGTCCTTCTGTCTCTAACTCTGCCTTTCTCCTTCTCTCTTTAATTCTGCCTCTCAAATAAATTAATTAATTAAAAAAATCACAAGGTAGAATCTTGATCTTCAATGTCAGTGTTAGGAGGTGCAGCCTTTGAGAGGTGATTATGTGATTTTTAGAAGTGTCTAGGGGCTGGTGCTATAGCGTAGTTGATGAAGACGCCGCCTGCAGTACGGTATCCTATATGGGCACCGGTTTGAGTCCCAGCTGCTCCACTTCCGATCTAGCTCTCTGCCATGGCCTGGGAAAGCAGTAGAAAATGGCCCAAGTCCTTGGGCCCCTGCAGCCATGTGGGAGACCTGGAGGAAGCTCCCGGCTTCTGGCTTCAGATCAGCGCAGCTCTGGCCACTGCAGCCAATTGTGGAGTGAACCAGTGGAAGGAAGACCTCTCTCTCTCTCTCTCTCTCTCTCTCTGCTTCTGTAACTCTGCCCTTCAAATAAATAAATAAATCTTAAAAAAAAAAAAAGGCAAACCCCACTTTGAAAATTGAATTCATTGGAGGAGTTAAATTATTGGCCCTGAATACTGTCTTAACCCTACTTGATCACAACCTGCTACAAGAGGTCACGCGACCTGGGGGGGAATGGTTGTCACGCAGGGCCAGGAAAGGCGGGAACAGGGTAGAGAAGACCAACTCGTTGCAAGATTTCTCAAGAATGAAATTGAGACGCTAAACAGACTGTGGAAACGCAAGACACAAAGAAAGGGGTGAAGGCTTTGCCAAGTGGTCGCAAGAGTCGCAGGCGCCTGTGTCAGCAGTGATCTCCAAGGCTTGGCCGCCAGCGCTGTGTTCGGGCTCCCCTGGGCGGAGTGAGGGCTGCTCCCTCATGGAAAAGCACAGCAAGCTTTATTTTCCCTCTAATTATAAAAGTTATCACAAGTGCATAACGAATCTAGGATCTGCGATTAAAACGAATGAGAATATTCCTTTAAAGGAATGATGGTGGGGGAAGGGTTTGGTGCGGCAGGTAAACCACCAATTGGGATACAGGAGGGCCTGGGGCTGAGTCCCAGCTCTGTTTCCAAGTCCAGCTTCCTGCTAATGCACATCCTGGGAGGCGGCCGGTGGTGGATCAGGTACTTCAATCCCTGCCACCCGCATGGGAGACCCAGACGAGTTCCAGGCTCCTGGCTTGACCCAACCCTGGCTGTTGGGGGCATTCGGGGAGTGAACCGGCAAATAGGAGATTCATTCTCATTCTCTCTCTCTCTCTCTTTCCTTTTCAAATAGCAGACGAAGATAAATTTAAGTGAACAATGAGCCATGTTCAGGAACATAACCGAAAGTTGGGCAGAGTGAACATCGTGGCATCCAAAAGCAAACGGCACCTGTGGTGTGCCCGTAAAAATCCGTGCACCTGTCTGCACACACATGTCGCTGACACGTGTTATTTTGAAACGACTTTGGTTTGCTTGCACAATATCTCTCACTATGCCTGTTGTATCTCTGAAACCTCAGAACGTTTAGTGAGTTTCCTTTTTCTACGGAAATCTTGGCATTTACTTTAGATTATTATGATTAGAATGTTTTCGGCTGAGAAGTGACATTTGAACAGAGATGATCTCGGACAAACGGGATGGTGAGTGATTCCTAATTCTTTCTTACTAATCCGTGTTTGTAAATGTTCAGACGATGGATGCATATTTCTGC